CCCAATCTCTTGTGACGGTGGAAGATAGACATCACAAAAGGGTGGAAAATGCCCTTGCCACAAGTAGACAACTGATTGGGTTGGGAGGGAGTTGTGTCAGTTACAGTAATGGGGAACTCAGGTCAATCACTCCTCTCAAGAGCCCTTATCCATTATGCAAGAAGTGGGCTGGCTCTTGGGAGGAATTATGCAAATATCAACTTGCTTTGATGGGCTTATACCAGTCTAGAGGAGTTGGCAATCCTAGGTAGACTGTATTTGCATGCAGACCACCCTAGGTAACACTCACATGTGAGGCTGAGCCTCCATGATTGAAAGAACTGAAATCCAAGGAATGAATGGGACAGGCCAGGGACAGTAAGCCCTCGTTCACACCTGAACGTTTTGTAGCGCGTTCTACGCTCGACGAACGCTCTACAAAACGCTCAAAAAAATAAATCCCATTGTATTCAATGGTCTCGTTCCCACCTTGGCGTATTTCCGCCCGCCCCTAACGCGCTACAAAACGGCCCACGCCTGAAACGGTACCGGTACTACTTTGGGCCATTTTGTTGCGCGTTTCCATTGGGATACAGCCAAGTAGCCTTCGGAAACGCGCGACGGTCGCGCAACTTTTTTACCGCGAATCGCGGTAAAAAAACGTGCGACAGACGCGCATATGCAATACGCCTAGGTGTGAAGGACACCTAAGATTAGGAAGAAAAGATTCAGATTTAACAAGATAGAGTGTGTCACACATCATGCAAGATTGGAGACGGCACCTTTCCAAATGACCATATACTTGGGTTTTGGAAATATAGGAGCGGGATGATGTAAAATAGTCAAAACAAAACTGTACATTTCTTTAGATATGATTATTTACACATCTTTTCATAATAGTGAATCTATTAGTAAATTCACCGCTGACAAATATTGGTGACTTTTTGATACTCTTTTAAAAAATGATACTGTTACAATATAATTCCATACACAGCATTAGAGCTGGTTGTATGCGGGACATCTGCAAGGGCTGACATGCTCCGTCTCTTAGGTTTCACATTAGCTTACGGCAGCAAAATCTCTCTTCGAACACATGTAAAACAATCCTTTTATTCCAGGTAAATATATCCCCCTTACTACATTACTTCTGTGCATCCCACTGTCTGCTTAAAGGGACAGTAACCTAAAAGGACAAGTTTATATAAAACTAGGTTAGTTTAGTTTACTTAGTTTTATATAAACAAATTAGTTGATATAAAATTATGTCTATATAAATGTATATGTGTGATATTCAGGAGCTTATCAGAATTGGCAAAATTAAAACAAAAAAGTTTTATGTTTGTGGATTGAGGAATTTGCCTATGTACATCTAACTTGCTGCTAAAGTCTACTCTAGTCAGCCTCTAGTTTTGGGGCGTAGAAGTCAGTTGTAAAATAAATTAAATAGGTCAGCAGACCAAAGGGAATGGTTTTAAAAGTTGTAATAGTTTATATTTTTCCTTAAAGATGCAAAGTAGATGTACACATTGCACAGGAGATCACACCAAAATCCTAAATGCTATTTTTAGATTGTGAGCCCTCATGGGCAGGGCCCTCCTTACAATCTTGTCCTGAATTGTATTGTGATTGTAATGGCTTCCTTATATTGTAAAGCGCTGCACAAACTGTTGGCGCTGTATACATTCTGTATAATAATACATAAGTTCATTCTCAACTCCTGTTGTATATAGTACATGTCATATTTTACATATAGTAGATAAGGGGGAGTCCCAGTACAAAAAGGCAGCAAAAAAGTTACTACTAGGGATGCACCGATACTGTTTTTTTGTTATTGAGTACCGATTTGTTTTTGGTACTCGCCGATACCGTATACGGATACTGAAAGTCCCATTAAGGCAGCCAGGAGGCGTGTAATGACTCGCCGCCCAGCTTACTGATTAGCCAGGAACCTGGGTGGCGTGTGCTGACTCGCCACCCGTCTTCCTGATTAGCCGGGAAGCTGCCTCCATGCTCCCTCGTCACCAGGTGACGAGGAAGCATGGAGCTGGCTTTTTGTGCAATCAGGATTCGGAGGCCAGGGGGCGGGTAATAACTCGCCGCCCAACTTCCTGATTGGCCAGCTTCCTCACCAATCAAGAAGTCGGGCGGTGAATCAATACACACTGCCCGGCATCCCGATTGATCACCAAGAGACGAGGGAGAATGGAGCCGGCTTCCCAGCCAATCAGGAAACCGGGTGGTGAGTTATTACCCGCCCCCCTCCCCGCTTCCTGATTGGCCTGGAAGCCAGCTTCACGCTCCCTGGTGATGAGTACTCACACAAATACTAATGTAGGTATCGGTGCATCCCTAGTTACTACACACAGTATTACAGATCCAGGACACCAGGTGAGGGGCGGAAGTAAATAGACAATGTTTCGGGGAGTTTGTCGCCTTTCTCAAGGCACATTATATCAGTCACAGGTGGGATTTGACTTGAGAAAGGGGACATGTTTAATTTTGGTGTGCTGAATTATTATATTTTTTGGAGACCTTTTGGAGGAGATCTCTGTTATGGTTACAACACCCATATACTGCTAGATTTAATGTATTCATAGGACGTGCAACGTCCATTGATATTTCCTAATTTAGAGGTCAGTTGGACATGTAGTCATGAATTTTTTTCCTCTTTAAGAATGTATATGCTAAAAATGATTGGTTAAACTCAGAACTATTTTTTTCCACCATTTCTTTTCCTTAATACCAGCTTTTCAAGATAGCACACAAGATAATTAAGCGATAAAATGAAGGGCCTAGTGCAGAATAACATTTTTGGCTGTTAGATAGAACATTTTCATAGATATCAGTACTTTAGACCAAAAGGGGGACAACTGAAGAGGAAAGAGAACAGAGGGATTTGGTTCAAAATGAGGGACATTTGGTAGGTACGGGTATGACCTAACCACTCTCAAGCTAGCTATCCTCCATAAACTCACCAGGTGATGAAGGAGCTAAAAGAAGTGGAGAAAAATCCAGAAACGTTGGGCTATCGGGTGAAAAGACTGCATGCCCCTCACAGACAAAGGATTGTCCCTGATGTTTTTGCCCATATCTTTCTTTCTTTTCACGTAGCCCTAAATGTTGGATGACCTAAAACATTAATGACTAGTTTATGTCCATACTGATAGCATAAATGAAATACATGGTGGACTCCTGAGGAACTGAGGAGCTCATTTATGGAAATCTCAACTTCAGCTAGTAAGTCTAGCAAGTCACCACAATGCTCAACATGAAGGATCCCATTATTTTCAGCAGTGCTCTTCACACCTGAGCAATGTGTAGTTTGAAAAATACATGAGCCTTTTTGGGTCAGAATTTAGTGTTTTTGATCCCATAGACATTGGGAGTTCTTTAAAGAACACCTCCAGGATTTGTAATAATTAACCCTTGCAGTGGAGCTACCCCAGCACTACAGGGGTTAAGTGCTTGTATTTTCTCTAGGGTGAAAAAAGAAGAAATACTCATCCAATCCTCAGTCCTTGGACCCCTATCCCCCTCCACTCCGGCTGTGGTATGTCCCTCTGTGTCTTCATGTGTAATTGACCTGTATTAGACATGAAGAAGTCATGAGTCCTTAGACCGTTGGAGCCCGGAGGGAAGAGATTGCGGCAACTGGTCAACCTAGGCGATTTATCTGCACGATATCGCGCAAAACACAGATTTGCATTGAAGTCAATGGAGGCTGTTCACACCTTTGCGGTATGTGGCGTGGACGACATCGCCTGTCACGCAAAAAGGTGCAGGAGCTATTTTCGGGCGGTTTTCGCACGGTTTGGGTCCCATAGACATCTCTATGCATTGAAAACCTCAATGTTTTCAAAGCACAGTCATGCAAACAACTGCTCACCAGCTCAATCGCCTAGGTGTGAAGCTAGCCTTAGCCACCTATATCAAACAAGCAGTTAAGCCTTGCAGAGCTGAGGTAGCCCCACTACAGGGGTTCATTTTTACAAATCCTGGAGTTGTTCTTTAAAAACACACACAATGTGCATTTCCTCTTTCTAGTAATCAGCTTTCAATTTGTTAAGCAAAAACTGAAAACACCTGAAATAGTGCAAAAAAAAAAGCTTAAGGGCCCATTCACACCCCATTCCAGATTACCTCCAGACCAGACCAGACCAGACTGTTTTGGGACCCAAAAAGCATTCCAATGTAGCCCTATGCTATTTCTGGCCTCTGTTCCCGCCAGCACAGTCCGTTCCAGACCAGACCAGAAAAATATGGAACACACCTGTAAGACCATTTTAAGCTAAAAAAAATGTATTAAAACGCGGCAAAATCGCTGTAAAAATGTGGCAAAAACACAATGCACAGCCTTCCAGATGTGGTCCGGAAAATGGTGTGAACTAAGAGCCCATTCACACCAGGGTGGTTGCGGAGTGGGAAAAAGTTGATTGAGCAATAAAAGAAAGCCTGGCAACAAGATCCATCCTGTAGAGGTAGTAATGATTGTGAATGGAGGAATGACCTTCCAAATTATTGATTTCATTTTTTCCAGTATGCTAAAAAAATTATTAGTAACCGAGAAATAGAAGTTATAAAAATATGCCTGACCTCCAAGAGAAAAAACACTCCATTGCCCTCCTTCCCGGACATGTATTTTTAAAGAAATGGTGAGTGGCAGCAAAGTGGACTTATATGGGGGAAATGTATTTAGCAATCTATTGAACTCTCTATCAATTATCTCTATCTATCTATCTATCTATCTATCTATCTATCTATCTATCTATCTATCTATCTATCTATCTATCTATCTATCTATCTATCTATCTATCCATTCATATATCTATCAGTCTATAAATCTTAATCACTGTATATAGTTAAACACGAAATGTTTTTAGCATTTGTTGAAAGTTAAAGAAAACACACACTTCACTTTATAATAATCTCTTATTGTCACCCAAGAAACATCTAAATTGATATCTTGCTCCCACTTCAGAACCCAGTTATTAATCTACTTATTCAATATCTATACATATTACCTGAGAAGACTTGCAGTATGCTGTGAGCCTTGTCCTTTAAAATCTTACAATCCCCTTCCTTCTGGTCCCATAGATCTTTATTCTCCAGGTCTGAAGTCGGTTACATGTACTATTGAGGGCTATTTACCTGTTCCGTCTGTCGCAGTCACACACAGAAATGTAGCAATGTACTGCTAACCTGACCGCGCCCCAAGCAGACACACCTGCAGGTTTGCATGCAATCAGTGAAAATCTACATATGATAAAAACAGGAATGCTTGCCGTATAATAAGTATGTGCTGTACCTTGAAGTTATTTAACCCACGTATAGTAAGTTTCAGCTAACTCAGCCAGAGCTGCATTATTGTAGCTGCGCCTCACCTCACACCTGCTTCCAGACATTCTTTCTAAGAAGGGACCATCTTTTAAAGTCACCATCACAGTGGTAGAACTTGCTGGTAATTATGTAGTAGGTGACACTATAGGCATTGCCGCAATAGTTGCTGAGCAGCAGCAGGCTTATGGTATGCGTTTGATGTAGGAAGCAGTTGTGGAACGACACGAGTAGTGTACAGTAAAAACTAGTGCAGATAATGCCTTGGGGCCATAGATGATGTGGAAGATTAGAAAGAAAACACTTGAACTGTGGTATGTATAAAAGCGAAGCGTGTGCATTAGTTCATCGTACATTTTGGCTTCTATCTTCCCTGGAATTTAAAGTGGACCTGTCATCGTAGAAGGCACCCCTGCTACCTTGCTTCTTGAGAGTCCAAAAGCCTTGAACAAGTTTGCTATAGAAGTTGGAGCGCTGCGGGGACTTTGTACAGATCACATGACCAAATGCCATGGCAGTATTGTGACTTATACAGCATGAATACAGATTTCAGGAATTCCGCTATCTGTAGTGGCTTCCAGGGACAGGGTGGGCCCAATATGAATTTAGCAGAGATCATGATCAAATGGCAATGCTGCTGTGGCATCCGAGTATTGAGGCTTTTACAGCATGGGTAAGTGTTTCAGGAATCCAGCTAGCTTTTATGGCTTTCGTGGGCAGTGAACTTGTATGTAAGCAAAAGCTCTTTTGTTTGAAGGTTAGTATGGCAGCTGTGTGCTCAGCATGTCTGTTCAGTGCTTAACACAGCTTTAGGCTTGACAAAGTGGGATCTGTCTTTGGTAAATGGTGTGGTAGATAACCATTTGTAACAGCCATGGTTGTATTTCTATAGTTGTATCTTTAAGGTGTATCAATGGTCAAAGTCATACATTAATTTCCACATTGAATTTCCACTAGGTCTTCCCTACTTCTATTAATCAGAATGATCTTGAAGTTTGTAAACTTACTGTTTCAAGAATCCCACAGGATTTACTTCCTTAAATGTAGTAACACATGTTCTCTATGCCCTGTAAATATGCACTGTTGTGTCACCCATTTTACAGAACCTGCCTTCTAAACTACAGAAGTCATGAGGAGGAGTTTCAGGAGGACCAGACAGTACCGGAAACACACCTCATGTGACATCATCACTACTTGCAGACAGCAAGGCACAATGGGATACGAGTCCTTGGAAATTGAAAGTAAACCAAAGGAATGAGTACGAGGAGAAGCTGCAAAGCATGCAGGGAATCCAAGAAGTTGCCATTGCCATTCAAATACTGATGTTACAGTGGGGCAAAAAAGTATTTAGTCAGCCACCAATTGTGCAAGTTCTCCCACTTAAAAAGATGCGAGAAGCCTGTAATTGGCATCATAGGTAGACCTCAACTATGAGAGACAAAATGAGAACAAATCCAGACAAATCACATTGGCTGATTTGGAACGAATTTATTTGCAAATTATGGTGGAAAATAAGTATTTGGTCACCTACAAACAAGCAAGAGTTCTGGCTCTCACAGACCTGTACCTTCTACTTTAAGGCCTTGTTCACACCAAATGCAGACCAGATCCGGTCAGGTTTCTGCACACGCAGTGCAGTGGGTTGTGCCGCGTTTTAGACGTGTTTTAGACGCGTTTTGGATGCGTTTTTGATGCGTTTAGGGACGGTTTTGGTAAAAGCGTTTAACATGGGCTTTCAGGCACTTGCATGCGTTTTTGATGCGTTTTTGCATTTTAGATGCGTTTTTGATGCGTTCCAGACCAGATCCAGAGCAGGTAAAATAGGGCTTGCTGCAGTTTTTTCATCCGGTCTGGATCTGATCTGGATCTGCATGCTGCGATGTGAACTGGAGGTCAAAATATCCTCTTTGCAGCACTTCATGTTATACATTGTTTTGGTTCCTTTTCTGGAGTTAGGATTAACTTGGAGAAGTCCCTTCTATTACCGCTTGGTCAAGCCCGCCTTTCCCCCTCTGCCAACCTCCCTTGCCCTGGGTCTCGGAATGGTGGTTAGAAATGACCTCTTTCAATACCTTACTGATATCTTGAATCCTCTACTCTGTCTCCAAGTGACTAAATGTTCAGCCTGGTGATCTCTTCTAGGCCAGATAAAGCTATTAAGATTGTTTTCCTTCCACAATTTCTATAGTTTTTTAGACATACTCCCAAACCTATACCTAATACCTTCTTCGCCAAGCTTGATGGAGTGCTCACCTTCTTTGTTTGGGCAGGACAACGTTCAAAGGTGCCTACGGCTGTGTTGTGACTACCTCTCTCAGAGGGTGGATTGGCCCTGCCGGGGTTTAGAACATATTACTGGGCTGCGGAGTTAGTCACAGTGTGTTGGTGGTTGTCACAGCTCCTGGCAACTCAGCAGTAACTTTGGAGGTGGCTCTTTTGGGCTCCTATGCGGAGGTTAGCAATTTGGTGTTTAGTGGGCCTAACTCTTACCCAGCTGTCACTAACCCCATGTGTACTACACTTAGGACACAGGCAAGGGGAAAGTTTACTAAACATGCTTCTATCTCCCCTAATGCCCCCTTATGGGTAAACTCTACCCTGCCTCATCTCTGCACTACCCTGGATCCCCTTTTGTGGACGATGTATGGTATTAAGACTATAAAACATACTATAGCGGAGGGAATGTTGCTGGACTTCAATAGAAGAACACCGGGCATATGAAATCTTAACCACTGCAGTGGGGCTATCCCTGCACTGCAAAGTGCTCATTTTGTCTAGGGAGCTAAAATAACAAAGATACAGTATACTCACCCAATCCTTGAGCCAGCCTGACTGCAAGACTTGTCTCTACAGCCTCGCTTCCCTCTGCTTTGGTGGTCTAAGAACCCGTGAGAACAATAAGTTCAGTACTGGCACTACCCAGAGGACATATAATGGCAAAATAAACCCCACAATAAACCTTGACAATAAACAAAGCAAGAAAGGTAGGTGAGAATTTACCAGGGACTGGAAAAGGTTCAATGCCAGTAATCCATGTACCTGGCAATAATTGAGTTGGGACCACTATTCTACACTGTGGACCGGCATGGCCAATAATGCCCCCCCTAAATATAGATTAACTTGCAAATAAGGCCAGGAAGAGTCTCCTAAAGCTGGCCATACACTGTACAAATTTCATCCAGTTCTTGATGAACCATCCCAAATTCATTCAGTGGGTGGCCCTGTCAGCACCCAGCACCCTTCCATCCGGCATCCTTCTATCAGGAAATCAAAGGAGCCAGTGGGAATGTTTTCAGACGCACAGAGACGGAAGATAATCGCAGAATGTCATTTACAATTGTGACAGGGTCGCCTTTAAGGATATTTAAACCCAACGACAAAAATTAAATATATTCCAGCTTACTAGTCTATAGAGATGGTTGGCATCTGTTTTCATTTTTCAATCTAGGGACATTTTCAGCAAGTACAGAAAATACCTGTTGATCTTTCCCGAGATGCAGTGTCCTTGTCCCTTCCAGTATATTTAAAGGAGAACTATGAGGTGAGTGATTTCCACTCATCCTCATAGTTAGAGCCGACCTGAGACAAAGAAGCTGTCAGAGGTCAGCTCTATTGATCGGGAAGTGAGTAGAAACATGCCGCCGATCCGCTCACTTTCCAATCATCTCCCTGTAGAGAGCGCTGGCTGTCAGTCACCATTCCCCGCAGGGATTCCCTCCTCCCCTCTCTGATCCTCCAGCGCTGAGTGGAGGAACGAATGGGGGAGGGGGCGGGCACAGCTAGCTCTGCCTCTATATAGGCAGAGCCAGCTGTCACTCACGCGGCTGGTTGGATCTCTACTGTATTGCTGCGATCTGTCCTGGCTGCAGTGCTCTCAGTATATCGCGGCCAATATTCCGCTATATACTGAGCTTTGGGTCACAGGAGGAGGTTAGTATATGTCCTCCCATGACCCTAAAGACAACTATGACAACTTTCAAATTACTAATTGCATTCTAGGTGCATCAAAACCAAAGTGTTTCAGATTTTAGGTAGAAACGCCTGTCCCCTTCCAGCATGCTGCACAGAAGGACCCTTGGTCCCTTTCTAGAGATCTGACCCCCTGCTTAGTCAGACCTATAGCTCTACAATTAGAAAAGTTCCCACTTTCTGCTGACTGGAGAGAGCAAAGGTCCTTTTCTGCAGCAGGCTGGAAGGGGATAATTTTTTCTTCAAAGGATGTACAGTACCTTAGATTCAGACAAAGAATGGGCCTGGTGGAGGATGCAATTACATCACTTTAAAAGGAGAACTATGAGGTGAGTGATTTTCACTCACCCACATAGTTTGAGCTGACGTGTGACAATGAAACTGTCACACGTCAGCTCAATAGATCGTGAAGGGAGCGAACACATACCGTTGCTTGCTCACTTCTCGATCCTGTCCCTGCAGGGAGCTGTGGCTGTCACTCACGGCTCCCTGCAGGCATTCCCACCCGCTCCGATCCTCCAGTGCTGACTGGAGGAACGAACGGGGGAGGGGGCGGGCACAGCTCGCTCTGCCTCTATATAGGCAGAGCCAGCTGTCACTCACGCGGCTGGTTGGATCTCTACTGTATTGCTGCGATCTGTCCTGGCTGCAGTGCTCTCAGTATATCGCGGCCAATATTCCGCTATATACTGAGCTTTGGGTCACAGGAGGAGGTTAGTATATGTCCTCCCATGACCCTAAAGACAACTATGAGGAAAAACACTTACCCCATAGTTCTCTTTTAATTGAAATCGACAATGTTATCTTTCTTCCACACTTTCTTCTTTAAACTACAAGTCCCACCCATGCAATAGGGA